ATAGATTGCCAGCCTTTCTAACTTTTTTTTTTAAACTTTATATTGTGAATCGATTGAAGGTTTACAGAACAGATCATCAGTCTCACATTTAACAAATTATACATTTTGTGTCATGACAATAATTGCAATCCAATCCATGTACCACCCTAACTTAACTCTTATAGTGAGCATTTGTCCATTTTTGTAATTTCCTTGGATGTGAGTATATCTTGTCTGAGGTGGAAAGTGTTGTTGTTATTGGGACCATTGGTTTGGTTTTCTACTCATAACAACCCCATGCCCAACAGAACGGAACACTGCCTGGTCCTACACCATCCTCACAATTGCTTCGTTTGAAAAGTGAGGAAGTAACAAAATAAGCCTGTCCAGTGTTTTAGTCAAGTGGCAGAAGACCGAAGTGCCGTTAAGTTTTTACCTAGAAACTTAAACTCAGAAGTTTGGTTTTTTAAAATCTCTTTTAAATAAAAATTTGCCTGAGATACATTGAATTTTGCTCTGGAAGAACACATGTTCTTGCAGTATGCAGTGGCAGTTCGCAGTTCATGTTTAACCCTCCTATTGATGTGTGCTGTGTCTGTGGTTTTCTGTGCATTCTTGCATGTTGGCAGAAGACTTCTCAACTGTGGCTGATGCACGCTTCCCCCTTTCCTCCCCCTTGCCACCCCTAAGCTTATCCTCTATTGGTAATTGAAAGATAGATCATGTAGTCATTCAGAACATCTTTAATATTTACATTAAAATCCTAACATAGTTTTTCTTTGGAAAGAGTGGGAAATGCCTTTTTAGAATATTGCGGGCTATGGACACCACTTTTCTGCTCTAGTAGGTGATTTTAAGATCAGGTGAGTCTTTTCTGGTTAGTAGATAAACTCAGTATACTCTCCTTAAATACTGAATGGGACTCAATGTTGGAGGCAGACTTCCTTTGTTTGTAGTTCAATGTAGAATCCACAATGAGTTTGGAGTCATTTTCTATAGGCAGTTTGTTTGATGCTCTTTCATTCATTCATTTATTTATTTATTTTGAGACTTCAAATTTCTGTAAAGCAGGATGGAGATAGAAAAGTGAATTTTTATGTCTGTCAGGTTTAATATACTACATTTTGTTGAGGGTTAGAAGCCATCAATAATTGATTGGTTCATAAATTCTGGTATTCGTAAGATATATTATTGCTCAATTAATTTTGATCCATATCATGTTTCTTAGCTTTTAAAAATATTGCAAGGTGTAAAGATTGTTCTTAAAACAAACTTTAAAACTCTCCCATCAAGCATATATGTTTAAGTTGATTTAATCATCTGAGTAAAATTTTGACTTTCTCACTTACTGCATTTGAATGAAAATGTTAAATTAAAAGCTCTCAGAGTTTTCTTTCTAGCTGTAAAGGTACATGGTTCTCTGACATGGTGATGGAAAGTGGGAGAGGACAATTAAATTCAGGTGAAAAAACTATGTTTGCTGAACTGCCCTACTTTAACCATCTGTGATGGATACAGGTGAATTAAAAAAAAGTATTTTGTGGATTAAAAACTAAAATTAGAGTGCAATCTTATAGGAGACTATTAAAACATTTACTGAATCTAATTAAACACTTTGGGGCATGGATTTTTGTTGTTGTTGTTTCTCCAGTTTGAAAAATTGAAAACACTACACTTATTTTTATGCTGTGCCAGATTCTGAAATTTAAAAAATGCAAACAAGGAAAATTCACTTTGTACTGACTATCCAGTTTTGTTTTATTTTGCTTAATTGAAAAAAATTTTAAATTTAAACTTTGTTTTGTGGCAAGAGTGTCAAAATTATATCTAGGCTCTCCAAAGTCTAATCAAAGTATTTCTGTGAAATGCTTAGAAATAGACACAGGATAATAACAAGAATGAAATTGTTCTGATGACATTCAAATATTAAAAAATACAGTAATTTCTTTTTCCACCTATCTCTCGCCACATATTTAAATTCTCAGCACAAACTAAGTTGTGAGCATCTGTTTCTGTTCTCCTAGATTAGTCACTTCACTTGACTTTTTATTTTTTAAATGAAGAAACTAATTTATTGTTATTTGTTGTTGTTGTTGTTGTTAAGTGCCTTAGAGTTGGTTTCCAAGGAGCGGCTGGTGAGCTTGAACTGCCGACCTTGGAGTTCAAACCAACTTTGCAGTCCAGTGAATTAACCCACAGCGTTAATGTTGTTGTTGTTGTTAAGTGCCATCAAGTCAGTTCTGACCCATAGTGACCCTGTATAGGGTTTCCGAGGAGTGCCTGATAAGCTTGAACTTCTGACTTCGGGGTTCAAGCAACTTTGCAGTCCAGTGCATTAACCCACAGAGCCACACCAGGACTTGTTGCTAAGTGCCATCGAATCGATTCTGACCCATAGCTACTCTATATAGGGTTTCCAGGGTGCAGCTGATGAGCTTGAACCGTCCACCTTGTGGTTCAAACTGACTTGGTAGTCCAGCGCATTCACCCACATTAGCTGAAGTTAATTATTTCTATGTGTTTGACGCTAGAATTTATAGTAAAGAAATACCTGAATAAAAGAAAACATTTTATATTATTTTCCAACATACTTATGTCTAGGGATTATCATCTTGGTGTTTGCAGACAGTTGTCAGTGATGTTAAAATAAGTCTTTAAAAATATTTCAAACAAGTAGCAATCCTTTGAAATTTAGACTATCATTTGAGCATCAGTTGTATACTTTGGTCATATAAAATGAATAGATTTTACACTTAAAAAAACTTTAGAAATATCAAAGATACATGGTTTTCAGAGTTTTATTTATTTTTTTGAACAAAGTTGTGTTTCCCATTCATTACTAAAATTCAGCCTTTCTCTTGGTTTTTTATGTACCTAAGGAAATTTGCCATTAGGAAAATGCTTTAGAAAAGATGTTTGAATTCTAAACTACTCTTTACTAAGTCAAGTTGTACTTAATACAAGGCCTTTTTTTCTGAGATGCCAAAGATTGGGTTTCCCACATTCCTTACACTTCTGTGATTGACAATACTCCCCAGAACTCAGCTTCATATGCCAGTGAGCTCTTTCCCTTAGACATAGTATGTAGTTGATTGCTGTGCGGTGTGTATTCTGTAAGTGACTAAAGGAAATGATCTAGGCTGACTACAGTAGTAGGATTTTCCAGGGTATCATTAGACCAGTAATGTACCTACATGTGTGCATACGTGCATATCCATATGGGATGTGCAGAAGTACTCATATACATAGTCTTGGTTGTGGTGCTGTAGGATCAGCACCCGACCGCGAACCGCAAGATTGACGGTTCAAACCCACCAGCTAGGAAACCTTATACAGGGTCACTATGAGTTAGAACAGTACTTAACAACAACATATCTATGTATAATATATATAAACACATTTTTTGGTTCCAGTTCACCAGTTGCTGTGTAATTTTGTTGTGTGCTGGGTGAGCTATTTGGCCTCCTTAAAGACTGTTACTATAGCCTTATCTAATAAGAACTTGCTGTAGATGCTGTTAAGTGCCGTGGAATTGCTTCTGACTCATAGCAACTCTGTTTAGGGTTTCCGAGGCTTTAAATCTTCACAGGAGCAGAAAGCCTTATTTTCTTCCCATAGAGCGGCTGGTGGGCTTAAACCATGGACCTTGTGGTTCATAGTCCAGTGCTTGTTATATGGAGTCACTGTGCTGTGGATCATGCCCTTTTATAAACTGTTGCATCAGGTAAAGGTTTCTTTCTAGCCAACTTAAAATAGTTCCAGTTAGAAACTCATATAAGTTGTAGATTTCATTTTAAAATACATTGACCAGTAAATATTAAAAAACAAACAAAAATCCTGCTCTTTTATAGTTTGATTGTTGTTGTTTTAAGTGCCATAGAATTGGTTCTGACTCATAACGGCCCTGTGTAGGGTTTCTGAGGCTGTCAGAAAGCCTAATCTTTCTCCTGCAGTTCGGCTGATGGGCTCAAACCATGGACCTTATGGTTTGCAGTCCTGTGTTTATCCTACAGAGCCACTATACTTCATTGTTTGAGTAAGAGGTTTTAGAAACAGAATTGGCCAAATAATAATCTTTCTGTTCTTAAAAATACCCTAGTGAATATACAATGTTGTTGTTAGGTGCCATCTAGTCAGTTCCTACTCACCAACCCTATGGACAATAGAATGAAATGTTGGCCGGTCCTGTGCTGTACAATGGTGGTAGTGGTGTTTGCCACTGAGTTGATTCTGACTCATAGTGACCCTGTATAGTAGGGTTCTTGAGGTTGTAAATCTTTATAGGAGCAGAAAGCCTCATCTTTTTCCTGCAGACCTGGTTGACTCAAACTGCTGACCTTGTAGTTAGCCACCCAATGTGTAACCCATTATGCTACCAGAGTTCCTTGTGCCATACAATAGCACTACCTAATTACTGATAGTGGATAAGTTTAAAAACTGTGTAAATACCAAATAAATAAATACAAAAATCCAAACCCAGTGTCATTGAGTAAATTCTGACTCAAAGCCACTCTGTATAGAGTTTTTGAGACTGTTTACTGGAGCAGACAGCCTTATATTTCTCCCCAGGAGCACGTTGGGGATTTAGGCAGCCGACCTTGCAGTTAGCAGCCCAACACCTAGCCCACAGCATCACCAGGGGTCATTAATTAAATCAGTAAGTAAATGATTAAAATTATACAGTATAGAAATAGGGACATATTTTTTTTTCTTTTAATTTACTGTCTAAAAGGCTAGCAGTTAATTTACTTGTTTATGTTTTCAAACTTCTGAGCTTAGCTTCATGTAAGCAGTCTTAATATGCAAACCCAGAACTCTAAAAACAAATTGATTTTAATAACTTGAACATTTTCTCTGAATTTCTTGAACACCTCAAAAATATCTTTTGACTCAAAACCATGACCAGAGTTTTTAAACTTGTCCTGCTACTGCTTCTCTTAGCGTCCATGCCCTGAATGTAAAATGCTTACTCCAGATATAGTGTTTCTTGTGATACTTGTCTTTTATTGTTTTCATTATAGCTTTTGAGGAACTTGAAAAAGCCTTGAGTACAGCCCAAAAAACAGAAGAAGCACGGAGAAAACTGAAGGCAGAAATGGATGAACAAATTAAAGCTATTGAGAAAACAAGTGAGGAGGAGCGCATCAGTCTTCAGCAGGAATTAAGTCGGGTGAAACAAGAGGTGGTGGATATAATGAAAGTAAGGATAATTCTAGACTGAAATGGACTTTAAAACCTTTTTTAAGCCTATTTTGAGGTTTTCCCCATAATCTTTGACTGTAGGGAAGAGTTAATATTTGATACCATGATGTTCAGGATGTAGGAAAAAAGCACTTTTGTAGAGAAATGAATTTAATACTTAGATAATTTATTGAGTTCTTTAAGCTTTGCTTTATCTAGTGGGTACCATTATAAACCGAGATGTGCCTTCAGTTTTTTATAGCCTCTGCTCTAGGTCCTTGAAGGTAGGCTACTTAGCTACTTAAGCAGATATCCTCTGTAGAACATGACCAAGTAGACAATTACCTAATGTGTGCTTGAGAAAAATGCAGGAGGAAGTGATTCAGGGCATAGGTTAGCCCTTTTTATAAACCTTACGGTCAGCTGTTCATACTCACCTATGTAAATCAGAACTGACTCAGTGGCACTTAACAACAACAGCAACAGTTGTTTTAAAGGCTCATTGTTACTAAGTACTTGTGTTAACTCTTAAAAATACAAGTAGACCTCAGTTTCAGAATGAGCTTCTTGAAAATGTTTCTTTTTTAAAAATGGAATGTTTTTAAAATTCTATACATTTTCATTTTTTCAGATATGTGAACGTATCATTATCGTAACCCTTTCCAGCCTCCATCTCTCTTCCCCTCCCATTTTTCTCTTCTTTTGGTTTTGCCTGTTTTCCTTCTTGTCATTTTTGCCTATGTTGACACTAAGCCCGTTTTATTCCTTTATCTAACTTCTCTTATTCTTTAAAAAAAGTTTTAATTTTACTGTTTTCTTTTTTGACTCTTCATTTTCTTGATATTTGATTATGGCTACTAAACTGGCTCAAGATTAGTGATAGATTTGAACAGGTGAGGCTTAGATTTCAGAGTTGTGATTTTTTTCCTTTTACTGAATTATAGGCAACTTGCATAGTAGAAATTACTTTTACCAACTACTAAATAAATATGTCAGTGTTGTGTTCAATGCCATGGAGTCAGTTCCAACTCATAGTGACCCTCCCTGTCTTGGGTTTCCAAGGAGCAGCTAGAGAGTTTGAATCACCAACCTTGTGGTTCAAACCAACCTTGCAGTCAGTGCTTTATACCACAGCAGCACACCAGGACGTTAAACTATAATTGTGGTACAATAAAGAATGTCACTATGTTATTTAATAACTTAAAAATAATAAATCATAAGATGAAAGATGATACAGTTATAAGTAAGGTTGCCCCCTAGTTTAGTTTTTTAGTTTCCCCAAAGAAAAGTGCTGTTTTCTATTTTAATATCCTTTCCTATTCATAGTCTCTGCCTGTAATTTCATCTTTAGTTTTATAATCTCCCCTTTAACATTTTTAAAACACAGAGATAGCATGTAACATGCATTTCCCACTTACTATGGAGTCTTGGTGTGGTGCTCTAGGCTAATGCATCAGACTGCAAAGTGGTTTGAACTGCAAAGTTAGTGGTTCAAGCTCACCAGCTGCTCCTTAGAAACCCTATACAGGGTTGCTATGGGTCAGAATCGACTCGACAGCATTTAACAGCAACAACAATCTGTGTTGAAGATAGTTTCCTTTTCATTGATTGAGCTGCCATGTTTGTTTTAAAGGCTGTGCAGGATTTCATGTATGAATGTTCCATAATTTAACCAGTTGTCTACTAATGGATAAAGGAGCTCTGGTAGCATAGTGGTTACGAATCGGACTGCTAACTGCAAGGTCAGCAGTTCGAAACTACCGGCTGTTCTGTGGTAGAAAGATGAGGATTTCTGCTCCCGTGAAGATTTATAGCCTCAGAAACCCTGTACAGGGTTCCTATGAGTTGGAACTGACTCCATGGTGCATAACCACCCACTAATAGATATTTAGATTTTTTTTTTGGGGAATGGCAAATTGTGAATATCTGTATTTGTTCCCATATATTTCTTTAGGATAGATTCCTAGAGGTGAAATTTTACTCAGGCCAATTATGTGTATTTTAATTATTGCTTTTTTGTTGTGTGCCATTGAGTGGGCTCTAACTTCCAGCAACCATGTATATAGTTGCACGCTGCTTAGTTTCGTTTATTGCTTGTTGGAATCCTATATGGAGCCTGCTAAAGTTCTATGGAGGACTATTTATACTCTCTGAAGCAATGTATTAACAATAATTACCCCTCACAAAAATGGTATCACTGAACATATTAATTCTTTTCTAGCTAATAGTTTAAAAAAATGATAGTGATGAGCCTATTTTTTTATTTTATGTGTTTAAAAGGAATTTGTAGTTTTTCTCTTTGAGTTGCATAGAAGATTCCTTGATTCACTTTTCTATTAAGCTGTGTTGGTTTTACTTATTTAATTGTAGAAGCTCTTTACTTATTGTGGAAATTAGCCCTTTGGACATAAGATGGCTTTAACCACATACTGTTTCAGTTTGTTATTGTTGGCTTTATGATTTTTTTTTAGGGGATGACGTCATGTAAAAAACGTTTTTCTGATAGTTAAATGTTTCGTTTCCTTAAATGCTCTGTAGATTTTGTTTTCTTTTAAAAACCACATGCTCAGTTCTGAAGTCTTTTAAAAAGATTCTGTTTTTATTCTTACACTTTTATTCTTTTGTTTCTTATGGCTAAACTTGAGCTTTAACTGCAATTTATTTAGTATGAGAAGCGAAATATAATTTTTCCCCAAGGTGTCTGCAAAGGTGCCTCCAAATTATTTAATAATTCATCTTTCCTACTATGCTATACTTTGCTTTTATGTTCATTATATACTAAACATTATATTAAAATGGGGTTTTATTCTAGATTCTCTATGCTTTGTCTGATCAGTGTTATTATTGTTGCTGTTAAGCGCCCTTGAGTCGGTTCTGACTAATAATTAAACATCTCGTATACGGTTTGCTAGTAGCTCTGGCAGTGTAGTGGTTACAAATTGGGCTGTGAACCAAGGTCAGCAGTTCGAAACTACCAGCTATTCCACTGGAGAAAGATGAGTCTTTCTGCTCCCGTAAAGATTTACAGCCTTGGAAACCCTGTACAGGGTTGCTAGGAGTTGGAACTGACTCCACGGCACATAACAACAACAACATAGGGTTTCCTAGGAGCAACTGGTGGTTAACAGTTCTGTGCTTATCCTACAGTGCCACACCAGGACTCTGACCACTGTTATTACACTTTAATAATTATTCTAGTTTTATAATAGGCTCTATTCTCTATAACTAATTATCAACAAGTCACTTTTGACTCATGGCAATTCCAGGTGGAATGACTGATTAGATAAATCATCAAGCCTTTTTTTCTGAGGTGTGCCTCTGGGTAGATTCGAACCACAAATCTTTTCATTGGTAGCTGAATATGTTATCTGTGTGCACTACCCAGTGACTCCCTATTATCTGGTAGCTCCCTGCCATCAAGTCGATTTCCACTCATAGTGTCCCTATAAGACACAGTAGGACTGGTCCTTGGGGTTTCTGAGACAAAGTCTACCAGAGCAGACAGCCTCATCTTTCTGCTGTGGTGTAACTTGTTTTTATATCTGAGGTTGGCCAGTTATTAAAACCAGTGCAACACAGCCCACTATGCACCAGGACTTCTTACTACCTGGTAGCCTCTTCTCCCTAAATCATTTTATATTGTCTGTAGTCCTGATGTGTGTAGGATAAGCACTGGAGTGCTGACAGCAAGATGACAGCTTAAACTCATCAGCCAATCAATGGAAAAAGATAAGGATTTCTGTTCCCATAAAGATTTATAGCCTCAAAAACTCTATACGGGGTGGCAGAGAATTGGTGTCGACTCAATGGCAGGGAGATTATCTTGTCATATGACTTTCGAATAAATAGTACCTGCTTGGAAAGGTAATGGTACAATTAAATTGGTGCAGCCTAGGCAGCTTCATCCCAGTAAAGCGCCTTCCCTGAGAGCATTCATATCCCCATTCTTCCTGCTATACTTCCACATTCGCTGCTGTTGGAGAATATTGCTACAAGCAGCAGAAATGGGCACACCATCCTCTAGGAATGGCTACTGCAGCTGCAGCTCCTCTCATCTTAAATGAGTTGCAAAACTTTGTGGGATTTTCTTTTAGGTTTTGAGACTTTGGTGACTGATTTATGTGAGGAGTGGTTTTTTTTTTTTTTTAATGTTTTATTGTGAATTATGTGATACTTTACATGGGAGAACATTAGTTTTACAGTCATCCTATCGTATATCATTTCATTGCCGTGGTTACAGTCCCCTTCATGCTTGTGAGGAGTATGCCTTGATAATTCCTCTGAGTAAGTTATTACATAAATAAACTGTCATAAAGTATTTATTATTTAATTGTTGAGTTAGATATTTTACTGTGGATGTTTTCTTTCACTTTATCCATTTGGTGGATTATCAGAAATCCTCAGAAGATCAAATCACTAAGCTTCAGAAGCTTCATGAAAAGGAGCTGGCCAGCAAAGAGCAGGAAATGACCAAGAAGCTTCAGGCTCAAGAAAGGGAATTTCAGGAGCAAATGAAAGTAACTCTTGTAAGTATGTTTTGTTTTTGCAGTAGGTAAACTTCATAAAGTTATAAAGTTGTTACCCTCTCCTCCCTGTGTCCCAGCCAGGGCTTCGAACTGATTCATTCTGGTTCTACGTCCTGTTAAGCATTTATATTTCCACTTCCAATGTACTCAACCAGAATCTACAGTTTAGCAAGATTGCCCAGGTGATTCTTATTTGTACATACGCCTAAGTATCTATTGGAATCACCTGGGGATGTTAACGTGCGTATGTATGGGGTGGAATTACGTATTCTCAGCACTGACTGAACATGAATGAACTCATTTGAAACTCTGCTACCAACTTGAGGTTGGAACACTGACAACCTTGACTTTTGGATATTCAAAGAGGAGAAAATAAGCCCGAAAGAGGCTACCTAATCCTGTTAGCTTAGTTATATGCGAAAATTAATGTCTTGACCAGCAAGCTTTAGTTTGTTTTTAGATTTATCCATCCCACCTGGCAGTAGGTGGTGAAGAGGAAGGAGAGCAAGATAGGTTGGATGAATCAGTTACCAATCTCTGCGTACCAGGAAGAATGTGGGAAATCTTAACCAGACCGACTCAAATCAGAGCTCAAGGCCCTGAAAGTTTTCCCTAAAATGCATTTTGATGAAGAAAAATGAAATGACCAAGTAGTTTTAATTTTAAGTAGAATAATTTGATTAGGGATTTTCATTCCATCTGTTATTAAAAACCAGAACAAAGCATTGACCAAAGCGACTAAAATGACAACCAGTAGAGTTTGTTTCGATTCATAGCCACCCTGTATAGAGTTTCTAAAGCTGTAAATCTTTGCAGGAGCAGATAGGGTCTCAGACCACTGACCTTGTGGTTTGCAATCCAGTGCTTATTCTGTAGAGCCACTGTACTCCCAAAGATTGGTTAGAATAATACAGTTTGAAAGTTTAGAACAACAAAAAAATTTCTTTGGTTGTAGAAATTTTTTTTATGCAAGTTAACATTTAAAAAGTGTTAATGCCAAAAATAAGGTGCGCTTGTTTTTATATGAAGTTACCCATAAGATAGTAGTGTTGTTGTTATATGCCATTGAGTTGGTTCTGATGCATAGCATCCCAGTATAGTGTTCTGAAGATCAGCTGGTGGGTTTGACCTGCCAGCTTTTGGTTAACAGTGCAGTGCTTGTCCTTCAGTACCACATAACATTGCATTGTTGTTGTTAAGTGCTGTCGAGTCAGTTCCAACTCTTAGCGACCCATCAAGGAATGGCTGGTGGGTTTGAACCACGGAACTTGCAGCTCAAACTGACCTGGCAGTCCAGTGCGATATCCTGCAGTGCCATACCTGGACTCCCCATACCAAATGTTGTTGCTGTTAGGTGCCATTGAGTCAGTACCTACTCATAGTGACCCTATGCACAACAGAACAAAGCACTTTCCAGTCCTGGGCCAACCTCACAGTTGTTGCCATGCTTGAGCCCATTGATGCTGTCACTTTGCCAATCCATCTTGCTGGGGTGTCTTCCTCTTTTTCTCGATCCTCCACCCTACCAAACATGATATCCCTCTCCAGCTACTGGTCTCTCCTGACAATATGTC